AAACACGCGTACCGCTTTCTGATTAGAATCCGATGTGGGTATGATACTCCATTTTTATTTAATTAGTTATTTTATGGCCCTTAATCTTATTTATTTTTGTATATGTCGATTTGTTGGTTTTACTTGACGTTAATCAGCTTATAATAATCATGTCCCAGTTGCTCTTACTACATCTGACCTAATGCGTATACAAAACCTGTTCAAATTTTTTCCATGGATCATCCAATTAGATCACGGGCTACATTTGTAACCAAGGGTCATATCAGTAGGACTATTTTTTTTCAAAATTGTCCACCTTTCTAGAGTTGCAGATGTGACCAACCTGTCAAGTTTTACCAATATTGGCCCAGTTCCACAAAACAAAATCACAGATAAAAATATCAGCAATAGAAACAATTATATCAAAAAACTAGTAAGTTTTTCGGCCCTCCCTGAAACCGAATCGATTGCGATATGTCCGAGGTTGTTCTCAAAGAATTGTGGGAATAGATATATTTGTTGCAAAAGTAATAAAAAATCATATTTTTAACTGCTGCCATGACTATGGTGGGTGGAGAGTGTGACCGGCATGTGATTATAAAAAATATTCGTTTATAGTACACATATATATATATCTGTTAAATTTGTTTAAAAGATTCCTCTCATTAGTAAATAGCGCCCTGACTCAACAATGTTTAGAATGAGTGGTTGGTCAAAAGTTTGATGAGTCAGGTGCATCTATTGGCTAAGCTTGTTGTACATAGATGCAAATGAGTATAGGAACCACTAATGCTGTAAGGTGTACTGTGAGGGGTGGAAGATTTCATGTTTGTAATGACTGGTTGTAATCTCGTTGTTTTCAGGATGCAGCCTGATATTTGTTGTTTTCTTGGTTGTTCAATTATGGCTAAAATTTGTGTGGTGGATGGAAGATGTGTTTATTGTTTGTTGAGTCATTGTTTAGACACCCTGCAGCTTGAAATGGTATGGTCCAAATCCAAATTCGATATGGCGGTGTTGAATATCTGTGCGATATGGCGGTGTCGTCTAAAACATCAAAATGATTTCTGTTTATTTATTTACTGTTGTAGTTCCTGGGAACTAGCCATTGAATATGAATATATGTCGGGAATAAATGGTATTCTGAACAAGCTTTATTAATTATTGCTGGCAATATTCCAGTATGAATTGGGAGCAAACTGTGACACCAAATCTAGTCGTTGTATTGTTATGCTTCTGAAATATTGTTTTCAAATGTCTAGAAACAGATTCAAATATAAGGATATGGATTGTAAAATATTAAGATTATATAGTGTCCAACACATTAATTTGTAAATGATAAATTTATTTTAAAGAATTCAGTGACAATATTATATTATAAAATAAAATAAATTAAATTAAATTAAATAGAAATATTATGTGTATTTTTGTATGTGGGAACTTGGCTGGCCCACTCAAAAATATAAAGAAGTGAGGTCTGTAGTTCTTTTTTTTAATTTCTTTATTTGTGAAAAAAATGGTATTTTACAGTGTGTAAACAATAAAACACTCACAGTGCAAGGCTAGTTCACCAACATGTCTATTCGCTTGCCTGAGTGTGAAAGTACATGGTTTAGTGACTACCTATTATGTTTTTAAATTATAGAATTTCTTTTATTTGGAAAGGTTCTTCTATAAAAATAGAACAGTCCAAGTCATACTGTTATAATCGTGGTGATTCAAATCACTCTCCAGTCAGTTGTCCTAAGCTTTATAAAAGTTTAAAGCCTCAGGTTATGTCAGCTGCTATGTTGGCATGTGATCAGAATAGAAATAATAATTCACAGGAAGTCAGTGCTACTTGTGTAGTTCATGAAGTCACAGATGCAAGTAGGTATCCATGTTTACAGGGACGAAATAGAGTTGAGTTGAAATGTGGCTATTAACTGCCAATCATTAGTGTTGCCAGTGTTGCACCAGCTAATGGTATAATGACTGGTAAGCCTGTTGTTCAAGGCATTATTGGCTGAACTGAGGTAGTAATAGTGGGTGTAGTATGTAGAGACTTGGTGAAGGATAGTCAATTGACT